CGTCCCGGACGCGTGCGTGTGCCCCCTCCATGGCGGATACGACCCCGAACGGCCCCCAAGGGGCGGGCGCAGTGGTAAGTGAGCCGGCCAGGTGATCTGACTGGATTTGCAGGAGTTAGGAAGGAGCAGGAAGTGTTGCCAGTCGGTCCGAGGGCTCCAGAAGCTCTTTGCTTTCAGGACTGGGCTTTGTGATTGGGGTAGGGTTGACGGTGGGGCCGAGGGAGGTCGTGAGCGAAGATGTAGAGGCACCTGCACGTTTCTTTTTCAGAAGCGACCTCAGGCTAGTTGTCGGGCCCGCCTGGAGCAGGTGGCCCACACCTGTATGCCCTGGAAGTTGGGCCTTCTTGCCTCTCCCGCCCCTCGGTCTCTATCCCAGGTCCCAAGGTTGAAGATGCCAAGTGCGATCGTGCCAGGACACGCCTCATTCTGCACATGCGTGCTGGCAGAGAATGTGTCTGCTCAGTTTATGCCATTATCTCTATATATACCTCTTTCTTTTTTTCTTTATTTTGCAGAACCTTTTGAGAGTTAGTTGCATACACCATGATGGCTAACCCATCAATAATTCCGTATTCTACATGACTACAGTGCAATCATCACTGCAATTTTTGCAGTTAAATTTGGGAAATTTAACATTGATAACATGTTATAACATAATATTCAGCCCATACCCAGACCCGTTGTTCTGCAGAATACTCCTCAAATTGGAGTTGTCTGATAAATGATATTCTATCCTCAGTATATTATATATATCAGGATGCATTTTATGTTGATTTTTCTCATCATCTGAGATACTAAGTTTGATTATCTGGTTAGGGTGGTATCCACCAGATTCTCCATTGTAAAGATATCTTTTTTTGCCCTTGGAATTAAAAAGTAGTCTGTGAGCCCTGGCCTGTGTGGCTCGGTTGATTGGGCATCATCTGTGGGTCCACCTCAATTCCCAGTCAGGGCACCTACCCCAGTTATGGGCTCCATCCCTGGTAGGGGGCATGCAAGGTGGTCAGTTGATGTTACACTCTCACATCAGTTTCTCTCT